GTGCCATCGAACGTGTGAGAGCACAACTCAGAGGAGTCTGGAGCAACACCCCGTAATGAAACACACTAACGTTTGCTGCGGCAAAACACTCCTGCTCACCCTAGGTGAAGTAAATAGGATACTGACCGCTTCCTGTCAGTTCAGGTCAAGACTTGGCACCAAATGAGCTTGTTGTAAACTTATTTTAAAAAACAAAGAAGAGGAAACACTCTTAGTTTTCAGAGCTCTTTGCGTTTCCCCTGCTGCAGATGAGGGATAGCGGCCCTGTAGCGCCGGCCCTCCCACGGTGGCTGCGAGGGTTATTGGAGGGGGTCCACACAGCGTCGAGGAGAGGGCCTGGTGCGGAGACAGCCGCCGATGGAGTCTTCCAGCTCCTACTGTCATCCCTTCGCCGTGCCGTGGTCCTCCTCCAGCTTTGCTTTTAGCAGAAAACGCCAATCCTTTGAAACCCCCAAACCCTATATCCTGTATCTGTTTCTGCACCTTCCCCTGCACCCCAGACTTTCTCTGCCTTCTCTACCCCTCTCTAATGGCTCGACCTTTCACCTCCAGCCTGGGTTCTTCTCAGCTAGGCTTGGATCCCTCGGCATCCACACCCAGGCCGGGAAAGGAGGTTTCTGGCCTCTGTCCCTTGTCCCAGAGGATCTCTGCGGGACTTGAACCTGGAGCCTCATGTGCATGCTCATGCCTACCAGGAAGGCCTGGACGCAACCCAGCCTCAGGGGGCTGTCTCGCAAAAGTTCCCCGCCTGTCTGGGTTCCCCCACCTCCTGCCACCCGTTGGGGGGCCATTATGCCCACACCCCTGCCCTAGCAATTGTTCCCAGCACACTAGAACAGTCCTCTGGCCTTGGCCTGTATGAGTCAGCTGCCTCCACTTCCCCCACCAGGAACCTGTTGTGTCTGGAAAATCCTCCTGTCTGCTTGACTCCTTCCTCTCTGGCCCAGGTCTGCCTTCTGGACCCCTCCTTTCCAGTCCCGCCATCCGGCTCCAATGCCTGCCTGAATACTGGGTTCCTCTGGGAGGAAGCCAAGCTTTCTTATAGCCGGAGATGGACTGGAGGGCAGGAAACCTGAGTTCTATTTCTGCTTTTGACCTTGGAGCCACCGATGGCTCTCCTTGAGGTGTTAGGCATATACTGCATGCGCTCAGGCCGCTGGCAGCTCAGGTGTCCTGTGGGCCTTCTTGGGAGCTGGTTGGGTTGGGGATGGGAACCGGCCAGCCCTGGGTGTCCTGGCCCTGCCCCCTGCTTAGGCCTCAAGGCCAGCCTGGAGGCCCAGCCTCAGCCCTGCCTCTTTTCCTGGTCAGCAGGTGCAGAACCCAGAGGTCCCTGTGATCTTGGGCAAGTTACTTGGGGGGAGAGGGGGGTGCTGTTACCTCCTCTGTGAAAGGGGACCATTCATACCTGCTCAGCCACCTCAGGCAGTCATTGTCAGGGTCTAATGACCCCAAGTTTGAGGAAATGCTCTGTAAACTGTAAAATAGCACTGTGGTTGAAAGGTTTTGTGGGAATGACTCTCAGTGACCTCGGTCAGTTCTGGCTCAGTGGCAAAAGCTTAGACATTGGAACCAAACCACCAGAGGTCAAGTCCCAGCTCTGCCACCTGCTAGATCTTCAAGCAGATGATCCGACTGCCCCATTTTCCCATCCCTGCAGTGGCCTATTGAACACCTGTAACCTGGGTTAACATTTATAAAAATCCTCAAAGAAGTGCCTGGTATGTAGTAGGTGCTCAATAAATGTTAGGTCTTTCTATTCTCAAGTAGAGCCCAGACTTCCCAGATCTGAATCCAAGTTCTCTTCTACGGTCAAGTCTCAGGCTCCTTTGGGCTCTTTCTGGGAGCCTCATTCCGGTCTGGTTCCATCTCCCCTCCCAGATGTGAAATACAGCTGTTAGAACCTTTTGATCTTCAGCTTTGCACAAATGAAGTCTCTGCTCTTGTTGGCTCAGCCCTTGCTGCAGGCCCTGATCTGACCCCAGAGCCTCGGGCCCTGGGGAGGGGGCTGAAAGCAAGGGCAGGCTGGCATGTGGAAGGGCCCATTCCCTGGAGTCCCTGGGGTGGGAGGGCTTCTCTCCAGGCCCCGACATGCTCTGGATTCTCTCACCCCTCTCACTGCAGATGTGTGTTCCTGGCATTTTTTCCAAGTTGAGTCTCACTTTGCTATTTCCTGTCCGGTCTCAAGTCACCTCCCCCCCACCACCCCCGCCCTGGCCTGGGAGAAGCTTTGGACCTTGCTCACCACCAGAGTTTTCCTTTCCAGACAGCAGTGTCTAGGAGATGCTGGGAATTCGTGCCCCGTGCATGCCCCCCCTCCCATGGCCTGGCTTGCATGGGGATGGGGAGGGTGTGGCAATGACACAGAGAGAGAGATAGCCCTCCCCAGGTGGGGAGGATCCAAGCCTGCCCCCTCTAACCTCTTCTGCCCAGTGTCTGTGCCCCTATGCCAGCCTTAGCCTCACACTCCCCTGAAGTCAGTCAGGGCCTGCTCTGGACCCATCTCCCACCTGGTGAGAACATTACCTTCTACCCATAGCCAGGGAAGGAGGGGGAAGCCTTTCACGGACTGATCTTGTGGTTCTTAGCCAGTGAGTGCTAGAGTTCTCTAAGCACATGCCAGTTCATCCCTCCCACTGGCTGAGAAGGGCCCCAGGAATCTGAATTTCTCACCAGCTCCTGGAGATTGTGAAGCTCATTCCTGGAAACAGACCCTGTGGGCATGGTCTAGAGGTCTACTGGCCACCTAGGACTGGGATGGGCATTTGTCTAGAGAGAAGGTAGGGAAGGAAGAGGAAGAGGAGGAGGTGTTTGCCCATGGGTTGGAGGGGAAGGGTCATTGGGCCATGGCAGAGAGTAAGGTGTGGGCAATGTAGACCTTATACTACGCTTCGTAGCACTGCAGACGTGAAGGTGACCAAATGGCAACCAGTCGAGGAGGAAGCTCCCAGCCTAGGAAGGGAGATTGCATATAGACTCTGTGGGGGCAGGTGGTACCTCCAAAGCAAGTCAAGTTCAGGAAGCAGCTAGAATTAATAGGTGATGACATTTTTGACCATTCGCTCATTCATTCATTCATTCATTTGTTACTTCAGGTAGTTATTGAACATGGGGTGCTGAGAAGGTAGAGATGAATTCATCACAGTCCCTGCCTCCATTCCAATGGAGATACAGATGATTACAGTGTGAGCCCAGAAGCACCCAGAACCCAGCCTGGGTGGGGACAGAGGTGACCGTAAAGGGCAAGAGTGAGGAAAAAGTCTCCCAGAGGAGATTTTCTTTGTTTTTTTTCATTTTAATTTAATTTTATTGAGATTTTCTTTTTAGGCATCTTTATTGAGGTATAAGTTATATACAGTAAAATGTACCCATTTTAAGTGTACCATTCAATAATGATAAGATGTGTATACCCAGGGAACAGTCACTCCAAAAGTTTCCCTTGCGTCCCTTCCCAGTCAGCCTACCCCATCCCCGGTCCCAGGCAACTAGTGACATTTCTGTAACTGTAGATTAGAATTCCCCCCCCACTAGAGTTTCCTATAAATGAGGTCACACGGTATGTAGTCTTTTGTGTCTGGCCTCTTTCGCTCACTGTACTGTGACTGAGTTTCATCCGTGTTGCTGTGAATATCAGTTATTTGTTCCTTTTTCTCATTGATCAGTTGGAGGAGGTGATGTTTACCCGAATTCTGGAGGATGACTTAGCCAGATAAACAAAGCAAGGAAGTGCATTCCAGCAGAGGGACTAGTGTGAGAAAAGGCCAAGAGCTCCAGGACACGGGCTGGGTAAAGTTGGGGGGTGTAGGGAGGGAGAGAGACTGACCGTCTCTTTGTTTTTCTTCTCCTCCTTGGGCCTCTCTCCTGCTGCCATCACCTTGTCTGGCCAGTGAAGGCTAGGTTTTGTTTTCAAAAGCGAGACCATTTCCTTCTGGCTGGGCTGGGCTCTCCAGAGAGGGCTGAGGCCAGGCAGGGCCTGGGACTCTCAGGCCAGGCCATCTGGGGCTGGACGTGCATTACGGGGCCACAGCAAATCCATGCACGCTTGTGCTTAGGGGCTCTGGGGTTTCCTTGGTCTCCTCCGGGTTTGTTTTTTCTCTGCGTTAGCTGATAAAAGTCCTTTGGCAACATTTCCATCTTGTCTAAGAGGAAAGAGGCATTCACTGCCCATAGCCCGCCCTGAGAAAGGCAGGTGTGGCGGCCACTGGGGCCCTGCTATTCTGGCCTGCAAGGTGCAGGGTCTCAGCAGGCCCTCTGTGGAATGGGAGCTCGAGGTGGAACTTGTGCTGGGCTCAGCATCAGCCTGAGGTCATACAGAGTTGACACCACGCCTGTCCTGCCCCCATTCAGCCCAGCTGTTGGGTCCGCCCCCTCGGCTGTGTGCACAGATGAGCTTGTCCGTGTGGCCACAGATGCCAGAGCCAGCTCTCCAACATGGCTGGAATGTGTTCCCCATGGCTTGGAGCTTTGGAAGCCAGGCTGAGGCAGAAAGAAGTGGTTGAGATGGCCTGCGAGGGAGTGGCTATCACAGACGGCAGCTTCGGTGGACTCACCTGTGATTACTGCCTCTGTCCCCCACCCATGCTTCCTCCTGCCTCTGTCCCCCATCTTTGCTGTTCCAGGTCACCCTTTACCTGTCTGTGTCCCCCTGTCTACTACTGCCTATTCCGGATGACCCTTGCCTTCTCCAAAGGAAGAGAGGTGTCAGTCATCAGTTACCAAAGTGATTTTAACTTTATCATCTGTTTGTTTGAGGATTCATTCAGACTCAGTGAATGCGCAGGGTTGGGTGCTGAGGCCTCCAGGGGCGAATGGAGCTTTCTTTGGCAAAACTGAGTCAAAAATAGTGGTTCAGCCCCAGCCTGACTCTCACAGCCAAACCACATCTGACTTAACCACTACAGGGCTTTGGGGTAGGACTCTGGGTCCCCCTTGAAGTGAGGGGAGGGATCCTTTGCATGGTGGAGGCTGGAGAATGTGACGGTCGGCTGTGTGATCTCCCACAGGTGACTCATGGGCTGCGGGCGTATGATGGCTTATCTCTGCCCGAGGACGCAGAGACGGTCACGGTGGGCCGGGCCGGCAGGAGCTACTCAGACATCTCTGATGACGAAGACTTGCTGGCTGACGATGCCTCTGGAGGTGAGCAGAGGGTTCTGGTGGTGCAGAGTGGAGGAGGTCAGGGGTGGAGCCTGGGTTCTCCCCGCCCCCCATCCCCGGTCCTTAAAGAGGCCCAGGAAGCTTGCCAAAGGGGGTGCCTCAAGAGATGGGCTGAGAGCCGTGTGCATCCTAAGCCCTGGTCCCAGTGACCCCAAGACCCTCCACTTAGAACCTGTGTGACCCTGGTGGCTCACAGGGCCGGTGGCTGCTCCTCTGCCACTGCTGTGTCCTCATAGCACAGGATGATCGGGACTCGCAGGGAGGCGGGAGACGAGGCACAGTAGAGGACAGTTCCCGCCTCCCCTTACCGCACCTCCTCCTGGCCCCGTTGCGAAGGCCAGTGTGACGGGGCCCCTTCCACCCCAGCACGGACAGACCGTCAGGGCCCCGCACCGTGCAGCCTCGACCCACACCCTCTCTGATGGAGGCTTCCACGCTGACTTTCACAAGCCGGCATCCCTGGGCTGTGGGGAGGACGCAACAGCTCTGTGCTTCCATGCCCTTCCGCACGGCGTGCCAGGTGCCCCAAACGGTGCTTGGCACCCAGTAGGTACTCAACAAGAACTTGTTGCTGCATAAGTCTCTCTTCTGCTTGCAGATGGCCTGGGTAGTGGGGAACCAGGCAGCGGGGACTTTCAGATGGGTAAGTTGCTGAAGGCCCCCATCCTGCCCCCTGGGCAAGGTCTTCCCCGCTGCAGGGGTCCCGTCTCTGGGGCTGAGGGCCTCGAGGGCTTCGTGGGCCTGCCGTGCAGGTGGTTTTATACTTGCTGAGCAACAGTCGTATGGACTGGTTGGCAGGTCCCTGCAAGGTTGGGGACAGCCAAGCTCTGTGGTCGTCTGCGCCACAGGGACAGGGCTGAGCGCAGCAGGCAGGAAGCGCCCACGTGTAACAGGTACCCAGAATAGCAAAATTCCCATCTCCCAGCACAGCTCAGCTGTGGGGTCCCTTCCTAGATCCCTTCTTGGGGGTGTTGAGCTGGGGACCCCAGGCAGGGGTGGGCAGATAGAGGCGCTCTGTGGCATAGGACATGTGGGCAGGCCGATGGAGCTGGCAGGGGGTGGAAGTATAGCCTCACCTTGGACCTGGGAGGGACCCTGCCTGCAGGTTGGGTCACCTCTGGGAAGCCAAGGGTTCCTGGGTTGGGGAAGAGGGCTGGGCTTTGTGGAGAGAAAGAACCAGGCCTCCAACAGCTGCTCCTTCCATTAGCACTTGGTGCACAGTGGAGCCGGGGCCAGGCCAGCACTGGGACTCAGTCCCTGCCTCCTCCCAGCCCAGGATTCTGGGTAGAGAAGGAACTACCCAGTGACAAGTCCCCGAAGCTCCATATGGTTCCTGCTGCCTTCTCTGGAAGCCAGCGCTGAGCACTCTGCCGTCAGGGCCAAGGATGGAGCTCGGCTCAGGCGGACCACTGGGTGGCCTCACTGCATCCAGTGCCGCCTACCGTGACGCGCCTATACTTCTGCAGGGGTGGGGGTCGCCTCCCTGTGTGACTGCTGCATCAGGGGCATCCAAATGCGAGGGGGTCGTGTCCTACCTGCCAACGTGCAGACAGGAGGGTTGGCCCCTAGGTGTCCTGGTCCTGACTGTGACCTCCCAGCACCCGGGACTCAGAGCCTACCTGAAGCTTTTCCACATGTAGGTCTTTCCAGCGCTGCAGGATGCCTGGGAGCTGGGCGGGGCCTGTGCACACATCCCACACCCTAGAATGGACTGTGCTGAATGGGAGCTGCCTCTTGCTAAGCCAGGCCTGTCTGCTGAGGCCCTGGTCCGGTCCGTACTGTCCATTTGGAAACATCCACGGCCCCTCCCCTGTCCACCGTGGCAGCTCTGCCCTCTCTGAGGGGTTCTTGCCAGCCCGCCTCCCCTGTGAGATGCAGCTGTGAGGACAGGGGGGTCAGAGGTAGGGGAAGGGGTAGGGATGGGGGAGCAGCAGCTGGGAAGGGCCCGTGCTTGCGAGTGGGGCCTCTCCGTGGGAAGACACAGGGCCTTAGACCCTCCAGGCCCAGCCCTGGTTCTGGCCTGCTGCCCTTGGGGCAGGTCCAGGCAGCTGGGCTGAGTCGAAGCCCTGGAGACAGCAAGTGAGTTTCCCAGCCTCTCCGTGTGCCCACTTCGGCCTTGCCCAAGGGTAGTGCCTTCCCTGCGCTGGGAAGCAAGGGCCATCCTGACCAAGATGGGGCCACACCTGGCCATGCCCCTTGCCTGGGCTCTGGACCAGCCCCACACCCTGGATCCTAGCCTCTGAGATAGTACCCCCCCCGCCCCCGCCACTTCCCTCACATAAGGCTGTGGCTGCTGCAGGCTCGCCCCAGCCCTGCCCCATCACCCCCCTTTTGTGTGCCAGTACCCCCACCCAAAAGACAGGCCCCTGGCTCTGACTCCTCCCTGCGACCCCTGCCCATCTCCCCTCACCCAGTTTTTTTTCCATCTTCTGACCCGTCTCTCTGTTTCCACTCTTGTCTGGCCTGTCTCCTTGTCTCCTGCTCCCCTCCTCCCCTGCCTTGGGCTATCTCTCTCCTCTTTGTATCTGTCTCATCTGTGCATCATCCTGTCTCATTCTGTATCTCTCTCTCTCTCTTTCCCTCTCTCCCTTCTGCCTCTGTTTCACCCTTGCTCTCATTCTTCCCCTGCTTTCTCTCTGCTTCTCTGTCATTTTCTTCCTCTGTCTCTTTCTGTCTCTTCATGTCTCTGTCTCTCCCTTTGGTTCCCTCCACCTCCCTTGCAGTCTCTGTCCCTCCTGGCCCCCTCACTGTGGCTCTGCTCTGCAGGCCCCGGCCAGGCCACCCTCCTGTGGCTGGTGAGGAATCTCCTCCCAGTAAGTGAGGCCAGACAGCCTGGGGGGAGG